AATCCCAAAAGGAGGGAGAAAAGCAGGATTGTAGCATGACCACTCCCTACTGCAGAATGCTTTCCCCCTTGCCCTTTCCTCCTCTCTCGCTAGGTCCCTCTTGGGCAAGCACACATTGACAGAGGTTGGGGTGGTCATGATTGACTGAGGCTAGCCAGACTAGTGTGGACATTGGGTCTAACATGAATGGGGTTGACTGTACAGATTCTGCTGAGTAGTTCTAACTCAAATACCCTCCGAGAATGTCAGGGTTAGAGTAAGGGCCACACCTCACATTCTCCTTAACGCAAACCTCCTGTAGGACTCTTTCTCCATGGTCACCCCTGGGGTCAGCACATGGCCACCTCAGCAGTCCACCCAGAGTTGAGCCAGTGAGCCTGACCCTGTAGATGAGGCCTGCCAATCAGGTTCCTCTCCTGGAAAAACTGAGACAGGGAGTGGATCATAGTGGGAGGGAAGTGAAGCTGGCAGGATTGTCTCTGTAGGTGCCACAGTGTTGAGGGGCTTAGTCCACAAGTGTATAGAACTTTGTGACAGACCCCAACACTCAGCAGAGAGAGACAGAAGGATGGTGGGAGAAGCAGAGAGACAGAGAAACAGCCTGTCTCTCTCCTTTCAGCTCCCATTTTTAGCTTCAGTCTGCACATCCCTACATTAAACCTTTTTTTTTTCCCCAAGAAAACTTGAATCAATTTCTCCTCAGGGCCCAAGAGCCCTAAGTGAAAAACTGCCCAAATCTCAAAGCACCACGTGCCCAGCACCTCTGAACTTGTCTCTGACAAGCGAGGCAGCCCTGTTCTGCACAATCACCTAAATGGGATCACAACCCATTAGGATTTTTCCACTCTGATGTGCCAAGAAAGGGGGCAGGGAAATGCGGAAATCAATTTCCTTAGCCATTATTACAGAGAGCTTGGCTGGCACTCTGAAACCACGGTGGAGAGGGGCAGTGAGTATCAAATCAATGTCAGGGCTCCCGGGAGACCCCACTGTGCTGACGCTCCCAGCAGAGCCTATTACCAGGTGTTCCCGGCAAGCAGGTCTGGACGGGGGGATGCGCTCAGGGTGACAAAGAGGACTGCCCGTACACACCTCCAACACATGGCCCCAGACTGGGGCTCCTGGAAACAGTCCAACATGTCCAGAGAGTGCCGCTTGTGTGGAATGTCACAACTCCAGAAAGGAAAGGGAGGTGGGGGGGCCCTCCCTGCTATCCAGGAAGAGATGCATTGTGACTGAGACAGGCAGGGAGGAGAGGCCCTGCCTGAGTTAACTCATCAGAGGCTGGAAAGAGGCACACGGATGTACAGCCATTTCTACAGATAAGGTGATGGCTAGGTGTGTTTCACCACAGCGTCACTTCATGAGGGATTTCCACCTCACCATGGACTCATCCAGGGGAAATGCCAAGGACCCCAGGGCTGAAACTGAGGTTTGATTCTTGGCTGCAAAGGGGAACAGCTGGATGACCTAGGGCTACTCACATGCCTCATCTGCTCCTCTCTCTACACACTCTGCTAGGGTGCAGTGGTATAGTCTTATATTCGCAGAGCATTTTCTGTTCTTCGAAGTGCTGCTCCTACATGATTTTATTTGACCCATGCAATAACAACAGTTCTTTATTAACTTACACAGAAACTCTTTATTGAGAATCAACTACGTGACCAGCAGTGAGACAGGGGCAGAGAGTCAGCAGGGAGTGAAATGCAACCCATTCCCATCCAGGGCAAGCTCTGTGTCAACTCAAGAAGCAAACAGCCACCAGATCTAAGATCATGCAAATCAATAGGGCACTGCGGTCCGTTGTCCCCGTGAGGACAGCCGGATGATGACTCTCACATTTCAGATGATGAGTCACAGCTAGGTGATGCTCCAAGCCACATCTCCAGGTGCCGAGTCTCAGTGGTCCATGCGAGAAAACTCTGGAAGATGCTGCTGCTGGACAGGACAGTAGCTGATGCTAGTAAAACTCTCTGCTGCGCCCTCCCTCCTATGCCAGCATTTTGGAGGAGTGCCAGGTGAAGGGAACATCCTGACCCGAGTCTCAGAAAGCCTGTGAGATGCTTCCGGCCAGGCCAAAGGACTCACCCCTCTAGAATCAAAACAAAAATCCCAAGGGGCCAGGCAAGAGGTCTCAGAGGAGGTCATGAAACACCTAAAACTTTTTTTCTCAAACTTCTGAGTTCTGGAACTTAGCCAGGCTGCAGGAGCCTACATTTGTGTTTTTCCCTAACCTGGGTTCTTTGCACACCTATTCCGTATTCTTGCCCTTTTCAGTAGTGCATTTTATCCTTTTCCAGTCTTTTTAAAATGGGCTTCTCTTCTCCTTCTCTGAAAGAGTTCTCCTTTTCTCCCTGGTGTCCCCAAGTCCTCCTCCTCCCCTAAGGCAGGCCATGTGGATGCTGTGGACAGGCACCTGGCAGTGGAGAAACCCACCAGGCACCGGGCTAGCAGAACACTTCCTGAATGCCAGGTCAGGATCTGAATAAGGCAAAGATGAATTCACTCCCTCATCACAACCTCATCAGTCAGATGCCTGGCACAGGGTTGGAACCAAGAAGTCTGATCCCGCTTGCCAGCAGCCCTGGTTCAAATCCCTCCATGACAGCATCGCTCTGGTGAAGGAGAGGCTAGGGAGCTCTCTCCCTTTCCACTGCATAGGGCGGATCTCGCCTACCAGAGTAAAGGGAACTGGAAGAACGAATTGATGCCTAGCCAAGTCGTTTCTCCTTCCTCTTAACATTCCTCAGAAAAGTTGCTATAGGGGTTGTCCCAGAAGGGGACAAGAGCTGTAACACCAGATTAAAAAAACGCATCTTAAATCTCAGATCCAGCATTTGCGGCTTAACACCAGCATTCCACTATTGAGCACAGTAAGACTTCACCGCTCTT